ATGTCTGACATGCAAATTTGGTCAATCAAGATTCAACTCTGGCTTTTTGCAGATCCATTCAGGAAAATGTGGGTTAGTGGCTGGTTTCATAATGACACCACACGTTTCATATAACACTCACAATGAGGCAGTTAAATGTAGTAGGTGAACAAAAAAAAGTTTTTATATATATTTTTTTATTATTTCTGTAGATTCAAAACTGCAAAATATATTTTCCTCTGAACAAAAGACATGAAGTGAATAATGTCAGTCTATGATTTACTGAACATCTATATGGTAGTTTTATCGTCGAACTGAAGACTAAAAGGGAGAGTAAACTCCTGCTAAGATAAGCCTGAGGTATATCTTAATATGCTGGGCTATCAAATAGTGTATACTCTATGGAATGACTTTAAAGAGGGGACTGAATGAATGTTTTGTGGAACACATGGTTCTTGTCTCTTTAAATTGTTTGTTGTCATGCTTTGATGACCACTTAAGGTGAGTCTTGCTATCACTGACTATAACTAGGAAAACACAAGAGAACCATATTTCCTAGATAGTCGCAACATTTTAGCTCTCCTCTTAAGTCTGAAGAACTTCTTCCCAGTTTTACTGAGACACAATGTTAACACATTACATCACCAGAGTGTCACTGACCCATGAGAAAGTGTGCGCTCTAACAAGGTGGGCAATAGTAAAGTGCAGTAAATACACACAACATAGACGAGGTACTTGGGGGCAGCTTTAGGTGACGAATGAATCTGTAACTATAGATAATTAATTCATCATTCGTCACCTTAATTGTCTTACCTTTATCTTCTCGGTCATGGTGAATTTCAGCTTGTGTACGAAGGGGTTTCGACCCATTCTGGAGTGACGACTGTTTGGCCCCTTCATTGCTGACAACATGACACCCACAAAGAAAAGAAAGAAAGGAAAGGTCGTGTCCAAAATGTCCCGTAACGTTGGCTGAGATAGTTGTTTTACGCCGTTGGACAGAGTGTTCGTTGGCACTCACTCCACCTTCCTCTAACTAGCGGAGAGACTGATGCTGGAGGGGAGGAGTGCTCACTGCTCACTTACAACAAGCTATCCAGAAGAAACCACGCGACTTCCGGTTACAGGATTCAAAATAAGATTCAGGTGTCTGGCGTCAACGTAGTGCAGTGTAGCGTTTGATGTTACAGTGAAGAAAAGATTGTGCTTTAACCTTGTGTATTCACAATCCAGTGTGTACTTTGTATGTTGGAATAAAAAAGGTGAATGGCAGCATTTGTGTTAAGGTATACATCATGCTTTGTATATTTAGAAACACTGGTGTATAAAGGATGCCTTATGTTCCAGCTTTTATTTTGAAGGTGGGTCAACAAATTTGGAAAACCTGACGGCACACCTACAAACACGTGCCTGTCAGTTGCCACTTTATTTGGTACACCTAGCTAAAACTAATGCCAGTTGTACTGCATACACTGACAAGTGTTTGTTGTATTTCGTCAGCCCTATTTGTATTTCTAAGGCTAGGCTAGAAAACAGAAAAACCTCTCTGTACAATGCAAGACACTTCAAAGTACATCCCACGAAATGATCATAAAGTTGAATCAATGCTTTGTTGATATGATAAAATCAACAAATTTCACTACTACTCAGCCTTAATTACAAAAGTGGACATCTGAGCGCAGAGAGACCATCTCTCACACACACACACACACACACACACACAGGCAGCCGATAAGATGATAAGGACTCTGACAGTCTATGGAATGTGTGTTTGAGATGTTTGGGGTGAGATTGACCTTCACAGAGATTCAGTATGTATTTGAAGTTGAGTTTCCTCCTGCATTTGATCCGCCCATCAATTTCTGCTGAGTTTTTTTTTTTTTTTTTTTTTATTGTAAAGATGACAGTAACTGCCCCTTTAAACAGACTTTGTTGTGTCTCAAAACCACAGATGAATGATTTACATTACATCCTGCGGCTTACTAGTTTATCAATTCCACACCAAAAATGTATGTGTACATTTTGGCAATGCAAACCTCTATGGACACTGTGTTGTTCACTGAGCCACAGTTGTAATCACTCATCACAGGTGAACTCAGTCCTTCCTACTTCTTTCAAGTGAACTAATTACTTACTAATGCAGTGGTTCACAACCACACAGAGCTTTATATAGGACACTTCATGTAGGGTAACATCTTTGGAGCAACACAGGAAGCTTCTACAGGAAGGTTATGTTTGTCCATAACCATGTGATCCAGTGAAATGCCATTGGATAATAGCAAACATTAGATCTATACCATCCTGCTGTGCTGTCTGGAAATTAATGATATAAACCTTCAGATGAATACATGCACACACGCAGGTGTTTTGTTGTTACTTGTACATCCATCAGTAAATATTAACTAAAACTATTAAAGCAGGGCAGCAGTCGCACGCTCATTATTTGTTGCCAAACACCTTTGAAACCAGACAGGTTTTTATGGCTGCCCAGTTTGCATGTTACACTCTATCAGTGCTGTTGTGTGCTTCATGCTTTCTCTGTGTTTCACTAGTAATACAACGATACAAATTGTGGCTTTAGATTTTATGATAAATAGCTAGTTTTTCATATGACGTCAGAGAAGAGACAATTTTCAAGACAACATTCTCTACAGCTTTTTGTGAAGACACTGATGAACACTAACCTAGAGGAGCCAGAGGATGATAAGGACAACTTATAACAGGCAACGCTGGTTAGAAATAACAAAGTGTGTTTCATTGCAGGCTGGATCCTGTGTTCATGTATTACTTTGGCTCCCTCATGTGGACGAATGATGGAACTGAATCTGACATACACACAAACATACACAAATATTAGAGCCGAGTTAACATTTATCCAGTGGGTGACTAAGACAGAATGACTGCTCTAATAACTTTTGGTAACTGAGGACCCAATTTGCAGAATGTTTTTTATCTATAACCAGATGACTGCTGTGTAAGGTGTCGCTGTGCATGAAAAGTAAGGTAAATAGCGAGTCAGCAATGATCTGAAGAGGAAGAGATCATTTGTTTAATTTTAAGTCAAACAGATATATGTGCCTACACCTGTAATTTACAATATAATTTCAACACATTGCTAAGTGAGCATGAATTTTTTTCACTAAGGGAAAATATTGTGCTAATTTTGGAAGGTTAATCTCACATCAGAGTTTCCCATAGAATGTTAGAATTCAGTTTCTTCACTGTGATAAACTGATGTATTTTTGGCTATCGCTGTTAAGATGGAAACAGAAGAGGAGTGAAAAAGGCTATTAAAGTTCTTTAGTCAAACAATTTATTATTGCAGAACAGTTATGGTAAATATTCACTATCTCAAAGCAATTTTCTTAATACTCAACATACATCATTTTAGCCCTGCCTCTGCTTGTGTCTTGGATTTGTCTTGCAGTACACAAACAAACGTCCCCTCCGTCGAACAAAGAAACAGTCTTTGCAGCGCCTCTTCAGGGCACTCTTGGTTTTCATCCCAGCAGAGGGCTGGATGCAGGGTAGATGCTGACACTGTCCCAACAGAGATGGTCCACACTGAGCAGAGGAGCCAGGCGAGAGGGGCTCGATGGGTCTGACTCTGGCTGACGACAGGAGCAGTGAGCGGGGAGCTGTGGTGAGCGTGTAGAGACATCTGTAAGCACTAGTTGCTGGTGAGGAGAAGGTCAGATGCAACCGGCTCATCTGGGCCACTTGGCGAGTCAAGGAGGCAGCCAGGTGCTTTAACAGGAGGGGTGCCATGGTGTCAAAGGCTGCAGAGAGGGACAGAGAGATAATTCATTTGCAATTAGAGCTGAAAAATGTAGCTCTGGCAATAGCATGACATAAGACTATATTTTTAGTCTGGGGTTTGGTTAATGTGATATAGAGCTGAAATGATTGGTCACTCACTAGTCATTTATCAAGCCAAAACTGTGAATAAAATGCTACAATTTCTCAGGTTCCAGATTTTTAGATGGGAGGATTTCTTGCTTCTCTGTCATAAATCATAGCAAATTCAATATCTTTGGGTTCTGGACATTTGGTCAAACAAAACAGGACATTTGAAGACCTCATCTTGGGCCCTGGCAAGTTGTGACTGGTATTCAGTTTGATACAAAATGACATTTCATAGGTGAAACACTTCATGAATCAGCAAATAAATCAACAATGTATATAGTAAGTTGTAGCCCCACTGTGATGTAACTTAAATATTGCATTTTGACTGCCTTTGGATGCTTTCCCACAATGCTTGACTTATTTTTTTTCTCAGAAGCATTTCAAAATTTTGTTTTGTACCATTATCAGCATAAATATATATATAAATACCCTCAGTGTCATTATGCTGTAGAGTCAATACCCCTCAGCTACACTAATGTCAATCATATGAACCATATCCCTATATAACCTATTGAAAAGGCATATGAAGCCTTACATAGACCTTTTAAATAAGTGATGTATTCAAAAAGCAGTTATCTTCCTAGAGTAATAAAGACATGTAAATACTACAGCCCGGTGTTGCTGTAGGATAGCTATGCAACACACCAAGGAGACGAGCATGTCAGAGCTGACCTGCTAGCGTCGAAGCCAGACATTAAAACAACCAACTACACATTAGTCTCCAACATGACTTAAGTCGTATCGAAAAATCAAAGAACGCTAACAAACCTGTCAGAGATTCGTTGAAAGTTTAAAACAGGGCTTATGCCCCTGAATGTTATGTTTTAATCGCCACAACGCGACTGCTGTGCTGCTCTATCCTGTGAGGATACAACTGCTTCCGGTTTGATTGGTGGATACTGCGCCCTCAGTTTAGCCTACGGTCAGTTTCCCTCTCTTCCCAGAAGACTCTTACTCCAACTTGGCCGAAATCTTATCCGTTATCTTTTATAATAAATCACAATATACAAACACTTAAGTGCAGGACCGTTAGCATAGAATTGCACAGTGTAGAAGTGCTTTAAACCTGGCAGGCAAAACTCGGGGTACATAATTTCCTTTTTCAAACGTCTCTGCAAGGCACCTTGGGAAGTACAGGCTGTTGTAAACATGGCGGCCGCAGTGGGCAGAGTTCTGTCCTTCACTAAAAATGCTAAGGTGCTTGTTTCACCTTTGAGGCTGTCTGCTGTGCCTGCTCACCGTTACAGCGTAGAGGTGTCCAGCACCGGTGAGGCCATTACTCACACTGGTCAGGTAAGATTAAAGGCGATTGTCTTCAGTTCTCCTTTATTGGTGTTACGCAGTGGCCTGGCGTCATAGCTATAGCTGTAGCTAACGTTAGCCTTGAATCAGTGTGGTTAGTAAGTCCATCATCGGACAGCCCTCTGTTTTTCTTTAGCATTTGAATGTCGGCCATTGATCATTGGTCAACATATATTTTTGTTTGAAAGGACAACTAATGCACTTGCTCCTTGTCTGAGCTTGTAAACCAATGACCAAGAACGAACCCCTAAGTCTTAAGCAAAATAGGTTCATCTGCCGCCATTGCCTTCTACTCCAGTTCATGACTTCAGTGTTTTTTCTGCAGGTGTATGACGAGAATGATCCCAGAAGAGCCCGATTCGTTGGCAGACAGAAAGAGGTAAGAGGTAACTTCCAAACAAGCTTAACAACAATCAGATGGCAGCTAATTTCAATGGCATCTGTTAACAATACTATTGGAGGATGTATGCCAACACATTGAATAAATAGCACTCAGAGAGGATAGGCAACATGTGGGCATCATCAAAACATCAATTATGCACCATTGCATTTCTTAATGTGTCTGCTGTTTGTTAAAACTTTGGGTTGCGTACCTGCTTCCCATATAAACCTCATTTCACTGAGCTGATAATGACAGAAATCATATTGTTTGTACCAAGGTGAACAAGAACTTTGCCATCAAGTTGGTGGCAGAGGAGCCAGTGACTGACATTCAGGCCAGAGTTGTGTCCTGTGATGGAGGTGGAGGAGCTCTGGGCCACCCCAAAGTCTACATCAACCTGGTAAGAGCCTGCTCACACTAACGTCATCAGTAGTTTAATGGGTCTGTCAGGCCATTTTGACATATCCTGAAGATATGCTGCATCTTGTCAGTGATAGGGCCAACCAGCAACCTGGTTCATTCATTGTTCATTGTGACTACAGTGTGTGTTAGGGGTGGGCATTCTGATGATCTGATGATCTTATAGCGTGGAAAATCCTGCTTTTCAGACAAATCGCACAGATCATGTCATCAAAAGGTGCTACATTTAGATACAGTACCAAAAGTTTGGACACACTTAAAAGATAAGACAGAGGTCATTGTGGGTGAAGAATAGCGGTGACTGGAGACACATCCGAAAGAAGTGTCAATGCCGCAGAAAGATATGAATCACAACTTCTGGTCTGGATTTTCAGAATAAAATCAGAGCGGAAACGGGATGCAGAGATTTGTGAGTTGGACCTTAGAGTTGAAGTGACAGGCTTTGTGTCCAGGCAACCATATGCACATCTAATCATGTGATCACGGGTTCAACTCGTGTTTCTACTGAAAAAGATTGATATGATCTTTTGGCCATCTGGCCCATCCCTAGTGTGTCTAGTTAACATCTGTTGATACGTTTATGTGGCTCAAAATAACATAGGTTCCCAAGTTTACATTTAATTATTTATGTGGCTTATTTGAAATGTTGTCATCTTTGTCAGATGAAACATCAGATCAGTATGCAGGCCCGATAGTCCAAGAAGTCTTATTTTCAGAGACATCTAGAAGCATTACTCTGATTACAACCTCATTTATGTACTTTTGAAGAAACCCGCTTACTGCAGAAAACTGACAATAACCATGTCTTTGAATGTATAACCTTTAACATATGCATTTCTCAATGAGTGAATTCATGCTGAGGTGTTTCCATAAGGAATTGAAGGAAGAAATATTTAGCTGTAATAATGATCTGTATAATTTTAATTTTGTGAATATGGATAATGACTGTACTCTGACATGAAAGTATCATCTTTGAAATGCATTTATGTGGAGTTTTCATATAATCATCTTAACAGATTATGCAAAGGTCCCAAATTGTAAATACTAACTCTACTATTTGTTTTTTTTTTGTTTTTTTCAGGATAAAGACACAAAAGTGGGTACATGTGGCTACTGTGGACTACAGTTCAAGCAGAAGCATCATCACTGAAACATTTCCTCTGTCTTTGCTTCTCTGTATAAATTGCCATATTGGTTAATAAATTATATCTTGTCTGTCTGTCTGTTTGAGTTCATTCTTCTTAATAACACCTGCAAAATCTCCCACAATGAAATATATATGTAAAAATCTATGTGCAAGTTTTGTGAAGATTCTCCCATTTGAATGAGAATATAGACAATGATTCAACTGCTGCTACTGGAGTAGTGTAGTTCCTGGATGCTGCGTTGTGGTAGTTATCCTGTTTTGTTTAGCTGGATGCAGTTCTCACAGCGACAGGCAGAGGTCAGCAGTGTGCTGCAGATGTATTTTTGACACAAACAAAGAGTGAAAGGCTCCTTGTTATAGACATAAAAGCCAAGTTCCAGACTTTGTTTCCCACTGAACAGAACAAAGGTAGATGTTTTAGATCTGACACTTAAGGGTCTGTTTCTAGTGCAACTTAAAATTGGTTTGAACCATAAAAAGCTGGTGGATAAATGTTACAGTGCACATGCCATCTGCTGCATTGTCTGCATGAGCAGGGTTTATATCTTTCCTGCTTGAATAACTGATTGCTTGTGATTGCAGCGCTCTCATCAATAAGTAGGCGAGATAAGTCTTGTCTCTGCTGTTTACTGTAAGAAGAACTGAGAGAACCTTAGCATTCCTCGTGCATCGGCCCCCCCACAGTCTGCGCTGTAGAGTCTCGCTCTGCCAAGCCGGGAAGACATCAGGAGGGAGTCAGCCTGATAAGACACAGCAGCGCGGAACAATACATGTTTGAAGAAGATCATATATATATTTCATCAGGCTTATTCTCCATAGACCTCTGCATGCCAAATTGGCCTGCGCTTGGCTCAGGCTCCAGACAGCAGTAGCCTGTTCTGTCCCCAGTGATGCAGCCAGTGGAACTGCATTTTCCACACCATGGAGCTCAGGTTGGGAAGAGTAGTCAGGCTGATATAATTGGCCCTGGTGACTCCTGGAAGTGAGGCTTATGCTGTAGTTAACCTCATCTATAGTCAGACCACTTTGGATGATTGAAGGGGAGAGAGGTGCATTGTTAAAATGAGGCAGGCGAGCCGGGTCAGTGTCAGGGAGCTGACTGGTTGGTCTTGCGGTTGGTAAGTCTGAGTGGTTCAGAGGTGGTGGTTGATTGAGTTGGAGGCATTGCCAGGGGCAAAATCTTCAGATGAAACTGAGCATATGAATAGTGCTGAATTAAACAGCACTGTGTTTTTGTGCTGCGTTTAACTGCACTCTTTAATTATTAACTGCTCCTAAATGCATCAACCGACATGATATAATATTCTTTAATATCATATATGTCAAGTAAGCCTGGATTATAAAGGTGGACTGAACCAATTTGGACGGACTCATTCACGGGGTTCAACCTTAAACTGTCAAATCGCCAGAGGAATCTGGCTACATCCAGTTAGCCACTTTTTTCCTGCATAATATTAAATAATAATGGCAAATACAACTCTTCAGTATAATGTGACCTGCACTGTTGGGTCAGACTATTCAGACAAAGATAAGCTCAAATGAGACTGTAATCATATTGGAAATCTCCTCACCATTGAGCCACACAATAGATAATGGAGTTAAATGCCATTGAATTTCTTAACACAGCGCCCCTCCACAACAATCACTCACTCTACACAAAACATCCTCCTCATCGCTGTAATTGCCCTATTAAAATAATTCTCCTTTAAGATGTGTCACAGTACAGACCCCGAGGCTCATTATGGAGCTCCCTGCAGCCAATTATCTGAAGCTCCATGTGTGGAAGCCACTGTGACCAAAAGGGGCTCATAGGCAGATCTGGGAGCAGCCTGTCCTCCTCAAATCCATACTTATTGTATGAGAGGCAAAACAGAAAACTGACCTTTGGTCACTGTCTTGGGGCGACTCCACTCTGCTCCACTTTGGAATCAGGTGACAGAGCTTCTGACCTTTACCATGGAAATAATGACTTGTTCTTGTGCCAGGAGCTCAGAGGGTTACCGCGGGGAGCGAGACACCTCTGGCGACATGTGACAGTTTTTGGAGGAGAGAGTTTGCACTCAGCACTTTGATAGCCCCGGAAAACCAAAGTGTGTGTGACAAGACGCAAGAGACTTCGAGCTGTGTGTATAAGTATGCCAGTGCGTGTGTGTGTGTGTGTGTGCGGCTGTGTGTTTGAGTATGCGACAGAGACACAGACAGTGTTGAAAGGAAATAGGTGTCAGACAGAAGGTGTAGAGAGGAGCAATTTGAAGTTGTCAATACTTCCTGTGTAGACATTCCAGCTGAAATTTTTAAAAGTAGAAGTGATTCAGAAAAAAGGTCACGCCGTATAGAATTAATAATATCAACAATGTATTTTAGAAAAACATTTATAGGTTAAAAATAGCCCTTTGCCTATATCACCTGTGTGTCCATGCTTCCGTGTGACACAAGGGTCAAATAACTCCTGGTAGTGTGAGCTAGACAAATAAACAGTGGGTCTAACATTCCCCGACCTGTACAGCAACACATTGTGGCTTAATCACATTATATGGCCCAGGGAGCAGGCCTTCATGTCAGACTGGCTGTTGAGTGGCTCGCATGCATATCGAGAGCAGACAGAGTCGAGGTGAGACAAGTGGTGGGAAAGGGGGAGGGAAAGGAGAGAGGGGGGAATATGGAGGATGGGGAATGGGAGAGGGATGTGGGATAGGGAAGGGAAGAAGAGTGATGGCTGAAGGAGTAAAAGGGAGAAAGGTGTGAGAGGTCAGTGGAGCAGATAGAGTGTGAGAAAGAGAAGTGAAAGAGATGATTGAAGGTAAATCTCATAATAAAAAATAAAAAAAGCAAATCACCAGTCAAAAATCTTTTTGTACCTGTTAAAACCAGTTTTTAGTTCACACCTTTCACGCTTTACTTCTTCTCCAAGAGGAATTATTTGGAAAACGTTGAAGTGGTATTTAATAATGAATTAGTCAAAACTAGATTTTTAATTTTTTAAAAATAAAAAATAAAAAATTTAATCTTTAAAGTTTAATGTTTAGTTAAATAAATCCTCTGCCAACAGAGTAAGATAAATGCCCAGCTGTGCAGAACAATATCACAAAGTTCAGGGATTCTCTCAAAGCGGCTGTAATCAATATTTTAATGGTAGCAATGGATCATATTACAATGTGTAATGTGACAGGTTTCACTCATATTGATGAAACCTACAGTGAATTATCATCCGAGCCTGTAGTTCCACACAGTGATACAGAGATTTACAGCATCTTTCAGCTCATTGTTTCGGGTTTCTGGTCGACAGCTGTAGCTCATACTGTTTTGGTTCAGTCTCAGAAGCTCACGTTGTGTTGTTCTGAGCAAAAATCCTCTAAAATCCAACCAAAACGGGCAAACAGCAGACAGAATAAAGTTAGCCACTAGCTGGCGAACATTGTGGAACATTTAGCAGATATAGCGTCAAATATTTTTTCTCAGGAGATGGTAGAAACCAAAACAAAGCAATTGATATTGGACTTACATTCACCAGGTGGCCAGAAACATGACTCCAAATTAATGCTAACATTGTGTGTAAATTAGCAACTGGTTGCTAACAAGCAACCACGTCATCTTTATATGTTAGCATTGTTGTCATAACTTGTCTCTGTTCTCCCCGATGTGGCCATGTTTTGATTGTGATGTTTTGAGTTCAGGACAAGCCTGCTGTGACTCAAACATGTAAATCTGAACAAATCATTTTAATTGATTATTGATTATTGAAAACAGATGATTATGTGATACATGTTAACAGGTTTGATGGATTCTCTTGACACAAATACCTTTATTTTGAAAGACCAGATTTAAGAAAATTCAAAAGCCACGCTGAAAACAAAATGAACATGGATTTTTTTTTTTTTTTAAATAAATTGAATAAAGTTAGAGGAGATTTAATGTTCAACACTAAATTGCAGTGTTTGTTGTTGCAGTTTTCCCCATGCTCTGTGCCCAAGAGACAAGTCATGTCTCAGACAGCTAACAGTGACAACAAGTTTAACCTTATATCTCTTAACCCCACTCAGCACTTGGCCAACGTCTTATCTGCCGTCCATTACATATCCTTCAAAACAGCACAAATTCTTTACCATCTCAAGATTTTCAAAAAGGAACAGAATTTTAACAGTTCTGATACATAAAATTTAGATTTAAAAAAAAAAGAAAAAATAAACAAAAATGAGCAAAAATATAAAAAGCTATCTGTCTGCAGCCTGCCTCAATAAGAAAGAAAACTTTTCAGAAATACGAAGTCAGATGTCATTATTTATCATCTTAAATCTTACTTATTTATGAGGCAGAAACAGAATGAAATTCTCGGTTGAATTCATCCTGAATTATTTAATCTGAAATGGTTAATTCCATACAAAGCCCAGGCAGATCCCTCCTCTGTTCTGATAAATACTTTATCACTGTTCCTAAATCGAAAACAGCAGGAAGAGAAAGATGGGAAAGGGGGGGGGGGGACTTCTCACTGTTTCTTGTTGTGCTTTGTTTTAGAAAGTGTTGGTTTAAATGTTTTGTGTGCTAAATTTGTGAAGTGTTCTTTAATAATTGAAGCACATGGAAATGTACTTTCTTATAAAACAAAAAGGCTAAATGATGCCAGTCTTATTTTTCTGTTCATTTTGTATGATGTTTCTTATTATTGCTTGTGTGAAAAAAATCACAGAAGTGGATACAGATGTGACACTTTCTTAAAATTACTTAAGAGGTTTTATGAAGCATTTTGCACGGAGTGGATTTTCTTGCAGTCCCAGGTTGACAAAGTCAAAAGCCGCCTAATGAAAAGGGACGCATCGCTGATTGCAGCTATATCTGGAGCCGAGGTGGAAGTGGCATCGATTTAACAATTTAGCAGCACCCTCCTCTGTGTGTTTCCATTAGTCACGGCTGAATACCACCCACTTCCCCCCTTTCACTCCCCTCAAAACACAATGCCAGTGCGTCAAACACTCTCTCTCTCTCTCTCTCTCTCTCACTATCACACACACACACACACACACACACATATCCAAAGCTGCGAAGGTATATTCCACTATTCCTGAACAGGATTTACA